CTCGATAATACAACTACTTCCGTTGATTTTGTACGTACTCAAACACCCAAGGATGCCACAAATACATTGTTATTGAATATTAGCCCTCCGATGCATGCCCAACGTTTCTATGGTTTCAATTTGACGGTTAATGATCCTTCCAAAGTATTTATAGCTTATCAACTGGATGATTCACAAGGAATGAATAGACAATCTTGCGGCTCTAGTGGATGAGGACTCTTCTGAAGATTGTAGCCTTAAAGCGGATAAGACAACAAATATCAATAATCACATATTTGCTCAGAAAGACGCAGAAATTTTGGCTTTAGATTCTCCAAAAAAATTTTTTTTTGACGAATATTAATATTTTAAGGAAAAAATTAAACAATAATCGGGAGAATAAAAGAGTATCCTACCACCTCAGAGCTTGCAAAGAAAGACTCTTAAAATGGGAAAAAATAGGTTTTATTTAATAGGTCATTTTTTGATGTTTTATGCACAATTTTGTTCCTTTTGCTTTTTGTTTTTGTCTTCTATATTTTGCTTAAATTTTTTTTTTTTATGTTTTGTAATACCTTTTATTTTGTGTTAATAAAATTTTTGAATGTAGTAAATATATAGCAGATTTATGAAACTAAATTAAGTAAATAGCATATTTTAAAATTATTTGAAGTAAATATCAATTTACCATGTAAATGTTTTGGTAAAATGATTTTTTTATGTAAATAAAGATTTTTTATCATGTAAATTACTTTTTACTAGTCGTAAAAGAAACATTTACATAATAAATTGTTATTTATTTCAAATAGTTTTAAAATATACTATTTATTTAATATAGTTTCATAAATTTACTATTCGCTACAATTTCCCTAAATTATATTTAAAAGGTACGTACTTGAGCCCTCTTTGCGAAGCGCTCTAAGTGTCTAACTTATAACCTAGCGCTCAAGTGTCTAACTTAAGAAGTAAACTCAACTACTTCTAATGGTAAAGGTTTTTTTTTCTTTTTTTTTTTGTTTTTTTGTTTTTGTTTTTGTTTTGCTATACTTTAAAGTTCTTTATTATGTGTATTCTCTTGTAAGTATGACTTGGCTTTAATTTAGAAATAGTACTTTCTTTATATGAAGATTTCATAGAATTAAAGAAAGAACGAGCTTTTTTCAAAAGTCTCGATCAAATGGGAGCGACAATTGACTCTAGTTTTGTTGTTACATAAACTATATACATTGTCTAAGAAATTACACTTGTAATTGTAAAAAGTATTCAAGCGAGCTAGCTAGGGGCGTTTCTTTTACTTCTTAAGGAAGAAATGTAAGAATATATCTTGTCTGTACTCCTCAATATGTAGTAATCATGAATACGAAAATAACTATTATTGGTCAATCAATTACGTACAAGTCACTAAAGTAAGGAAATTTAAACAGTATAAAAGAAAAGTGCTCGATCACATAATGCCAATCTTCATATAATTAATAACTGGATTAGCTAGCTGTGATAATACTATTTGTAAGATTGTCCTCCTTATTACAAGCTCCAAATAGTTAAAAAAAAAAAAAAAAAAAATTTAAGCCATAAAAAGTTAATATGGAAAAAGGTGGTAAAACCCAGAAAATCCAACGTACACTAATTTACAGAGACTACGTAGAAGGTGATTAGATCCTCTTTTTCTTTTTTGTTATTTGGTATTAAAAAAGTACGAGGTGGGGTACTCGCGTGACGATAGAGGATTCATATATTAAGAATTATCTGTATTGAGCCATAATTATTTGTGTTGGAGACGAATCGCATCATCTCAACCCAAAAGCGCTAATTATTACATGGACATTAGATTAGTAACTAGAGTGAAAAATAAAGTTTCAAGCGTGTTTATCAAATCACTTGAGAGAAAGATCATGAATGTTACTAGGCTACCACCACCTTGGTGACGAGTCGTACTTAATAAAAAGATACGTGCCATTCCAACCTATTAAAAGTGTATATGCGGTGCCACCTAAAACGATGAACAAGAATAATGCTATAGTAATTAAACTTTAAACTAAAAACTTTTTTATTTCTAGACCCAAATCAAGGAATCGACAGGAAAAAAAAAACAGAGAGAGAGAAGAAAAGAAAAGAGAAACAATGTTGGAGAAGAATACTAGTAGCTAGCTGGTAAATTGATACTGGAGACATGATTTAAGCTGACAATTGTGCTTTGTTAAGTGATAAAAGCTCAAGCAGAATAAAGTTGAAAGCAAGCATTTTATGTGTATGTATGTATATATATATATATATATATATATATATGTTTTGTATTACCGGTGCTTTATTGCTCGTGTTGCTATTGTTCCGACAGACAGCTGCAGCTGGTAGATGCTTCTGCGTCTACATACATAATGCCTTTCATCATTAGCATTTTGTTTAAAGTTATCGTGGAACTAATATTATTGCATGGCTTTTCAAAAACTATGCCATTCTCGTGTGGCTTACGTTTTCAGTAGTGAGAAACACAATTCCAATACTCAAACTGCATTAATAGCATGGCCAACTTTTTTTTTCCCCCTTTTCTTTTCAAAAGCAAATATTGTTATACCTTTGCCCAGTAAAATATGATACATATATATATATATATATATATATAATATATATGCGTGTGTGTGTGTGTGGTAACTTTTGATTCACTACTAGTTTAATTTGGTCCCTCTCGCCATTTTGTTTAAGGTGAATTATAATTTCTACATAAATGAAGAACCATACACGTAATTCATGCCATCTTAGATAAAGTTTATAATTAATATTCCAGTACTTCATCGATTTTTGCTTTTTTATTTTTTATTTTTTAATATTATACAATTAGATCCAAGTCAGACTATGCGCACGCAAGTTCTACATTTGTGTACTTATGGACTTATAATTCCTTGAAGAGGAAGAAATTGATGCGGTTGTTTTTCTATTTACATTTTTTTTCCCATTTTTCCACCGCGTAAGTTGACAATTATATTCTTAAAAAAAATCCAATTTATGGCTTTCTTCCTCTTATCAAAATCCTTTTTGAGGCAGACAAGATTTAAGAATTTAGGGTGTAGGGCCCACAACCATGAAAAAGTTAGTTCCCAGGAGACTTGGAGTACTAAAAAGTTAAAAGTTCTTGATTATCTCTTGTTGTGCAAATGATAGTAAAGATCATGGATTACCAAGTTAAAAATCCTAATTAAATGATAACTATACTGGGAACAGATTTTCTAATTCAGTAGAATCGATACGATATTCTTGATCAGGTAACCACCATCCAGAATCGCGTATATAAGTTGTTAATTTGTATTAATATTTCCGTGAGATCTAAAGATAAAACGCGTCTCTCCGTTATTTAATCACGCTAATCTCTAGCTAAAATCATGAATTAGATAAGTGAGAGTCTAAAAATATGAACACTTCTATGCTTTAACCATCATGTAATTAATGGTGATGTGCAATGAGAATCTCATATGTAAAAATATTTTGCCCCGGTATTATAGCTAACGAAATTTGTGATCATGATATGTTCACTTTCACCTTTTTTTTTTTTTTTGACAATACCATGTTCACTCTCATGAATGACAAATAGAGTGTCTGTTTGTTTCGCCGATTTAAATTGTGTTGATTTGAGCTTTCTTAATTTCAACAGAAAAATCTGAACAATGTGGTTTAAACAGCAATTCGAACTAATGTTTGGACATGCAACATAACTTTTAATCTGAACAGAGAATATAATCCGAATTAGTATTTAGATGAGGCTTTAAAACTGTAGTTTGAATTGAACTGGTGTTTGGATGTGTACAAGTATCTAATTTGAACTGGGTTTTTTTCCCTATATGAAAAATTCTTTTTTTTTAAGTTGTTAATATAAATACAAATTTTTATTTCTACAAGTGATAATTAAGTTAGAGAGAAAACTAAAAATGTCATCATTAAAGTAATACCATTTTATTTCTACAATTGTTATATCTTTTTGTAACCTATAAGTTATTTTTCGTAGTGACATCAAATTTTTGTGTAGTGACATAAATAATAGAGTTGTAAAAAATAATGGTTAAATTTAAAATTTTCTTATTAAGTTATAGCCTTCATGCAAAATGACCTGCATCACACCAAATGGCTCGGCGATGTGGTTTGGCAAACACAAGAATTAATGTGGTTCAGCGATGCCTATATCCGTGAAGAAAGAAAACAGAGGAATCCACTAATGAAGAACACAATCAAATGGTTCCATAAAAATAGAGATCACAAACACTAATTTAGATAACTGTTCATATAATTAGTCAATAATCAATATAAATTTTGAATGAGACTAAATCAATCAAATCAAAATCCTATCCCAGAAAATCAGCCAAAATCTTATTTGGTCAAATCAAATATTATTATTGAGATACATAACTATATTTTAGTCCACCTTGTTTTCCTTAAAATTTAACTTTACACTTAAATAAATGAAACTGAGATATAATATATTAATTGATTATGATGTGGTGATGCGTCCCTAGTAAAAGAAACATATTCCTTTTTTCCGCAAAACCTTTTTTGTTGCCAAGTTCTTGCTCAACCTTAGAACCGAAATTGTACTCTTCAATGGCATCCAACTAATAATTAACTTCTAGTTTCGTAAACAATATGCAAAGTGCCATAACAGTAAAAAGATGGATCTTTCCACGAAATCCACTCAAACAGTTAAGATGCATGTACAAGTACAAGAACTGTGAGATTTGGATCCGTGAACGAATCAGAAGATGAAAGAGCAAAAGAATAATGAATCTTAATTAAATAAAAATATGTACAAAAACAAACATTGCGTTTCAAAATGTCATAGTATATATCGTGAAATTGGAGAAAAAAGTAGACTCATCAGAATTTCCCATACATAAAATGAAGACAAAAAGAAAGAAAAGAAATACAAAGAGGGATAACCCACTAATTAACAAAGATTAGAGAGAGATTAATATCATGCATTAAAATGTACATTAGTTTTACACAAGGAAGCAATTAATCCCATTTTTTTTAATCCCCCGCCCTAGGTTGCGTGTCAAAAATCTAAATGCATGTTAAAATTAACAAGGAGAATATAGAAAAAAGGAAAAGAAGGAAAAAAAAAAGGAAAAAAAAAAAAGGAGAAAGATCAAAGGCATACGACCCTAATTAAGCACATAAGTTCTTTTCTCTTCATGATAATTCTTGAATCTTGAAAATAATCCTTCTATCCACTGACTCAAGAAGCCCAATATCATCAATTGAATGATCTTCATCATCACCAGGACTCTCATTTTCATCCATCTGATCATCAAAGGAAATGTTCAAATCCAGAGACACACAAGGACTTGTCTCCTCCACAACCTGATGATCATGATAATCATGATCTTTAAGCTGATGATCTGATTCTATCTTCTGTCTAGAAGGAGGAGAACAAGCCCTTGATCTTGAGCTAAAGCTTTCACAGCTCAAAATTACAATAGCATCCCTAAGCTCGACTTCTTCGCCACTCGAGTTCATTACTCGTCCACTTTCAACGGCTCTCTTGAACCCCATTTGAGAAAAATAATCCGCTTGCTCAACATCTTCAACCAAAAACACCCTATGGGGATTCAACGACACCGCTTCTCCGAACCTTTCGATGTAAGTACCGCAACTTTGCTCGTCTCTTGACCTCTTGTTGACGTTGTTCCGGCCACAATCCTCCGTCGAATCTGCCCTCGTCAACGAGAAACTGCTCAGAGCAATGGAAACAAACTCGTTTGTTGAACCGAAGACGAGCTTAGCCAACTCTTTCGCGATCTTCTCTTTGGCGTCAGTATCAACACCTTGAAAGACCAACCAAGTCTCTTCTTTGGCTTGAAGATTCTGATCAGCGGTATTCATATTCAATCCGAACTTCCCTTTTCTTCTCACCATGCCCGACCGGCACTTCAAGATCGTGCTCGCGATTTCGGGGATTATATCCTTCTGCCACGGCACTTTCTTCTCCAATGCGATGCATAGGGTTTTCAGGTTCTCGGAGTTGAGCTCTTTGAACTTGTGCGAGTACTCGGCGTCCATGACATCGCTTGAAGAAGCTGAAGTAGGGGTAGAATTGGGATTGGAAGAAAATAGCATCGGTTGTTTTGATGGATTGTTTTCCTTATTGTCTTGGAAGTACATTCTCAAACTTGGCTCAATGATTGTGCTTATAGTACTTTTGTTCGGAGTTTCGGCCGATACCCAGAAACCGTGGTCCCTCCAAGACTGATTAGGGTTTTGTTGATGGTGATGAAGATGATCATATGAGAAGCCAGAAGCAGAGGAAGAAGGTGACACGGAAGAGAATGTGATTGGGTTTTTCTCTGAATAATAGTTGCTATTTGCTTGTCGGTGCTGATGAGTTGAATAGCAAAATGAGTTCCACTTTTTGCAAAGGTCTGCGACTGGAACACAGTTCTACAGAAAAAGAGAGAGAGAGATATAATTGCAAAGTGAAAAAGTTAGTTTTTATGAACAACTTCATGTATATTTTAAATTGTTGGAGTCATTATTACAACTAATTATATATATATATATATATTAAGATGAAATTTATAAAGATATACCTGATCATTATTAGATCTACAATGTTGGAGCCATGCAGGGAGGTTTGAAGTAGTGGAATATTGACTGTTCGAAGAATTACTGTTTTGGAAGGTTTTAGCTTCGGCCTCAAACTTGGCTGAGCACTCGGCGCAGCACTTAAGCTGATCGTGCTTGTCTCCAGTAACTTCAACTATCAAGCTTTTGGACGTCCCATTGGTAATTTTAGTGGCGGACTCGTCACTTTTCAGGTCACTGAAGAGAGAAAGAAAGAAGTAAAGTTGATAAGAGTTGCACATTCACAGTTGAAGGGAAAGGAAAAGAAAGAAAGAAATGAACTAATAGAAAGGAAAAAAAAAGGCTTGGATATGCCGAAACATTTATGTAGAAATATTCCCTCTTCAAAAACGAGAAAGGAAATTAGAAAAGGAGAAATAGGAGAATAAGTATTATTATTAATGTTTATCATTTCATCAAATTATAAATCTATATCTACTCCTTGAATTTATTTTTTTTAGCTTTTTATTCTTTACTTTTTAACAAAATGGGAAAGAAAAAACATGGTCTGGAGAGAAAGTTGAAACACCTTTTCTTTGGCGACATGTAATAAATTTTCTAACTTCCTTTTAGATTAAGAAAAAGATCACTAGTGGTCTCTTCATCCTTCACTTGATTATTTCAGAAGATCATTCACAACAATTTTGGAAAGAAAATATATAGTTTTATGGAAAATATAGAAAGCAAATATACACGAATTATTTACTAGTCTTTTTACCATAACCATTTCAGTTGCAATTTTGATATCAGTTATCTTCTCTCGTCATTTATATCTATAAAAAAAAATTAAATTTACCTTCCAGTTGTGAGGAGACTCAACCGCAAGCTGTCTGCCGGAATTGTAAGAGGATGAATACCCCAAATGGTCTCCAACGATGGGTAGCCAGATTTACATCTCATGTAAGTTTGGAAAGTGGCAATGCCCATGAGCCAAAATTTCCCATTTTCTCCAATCCCACAAACCAATTTCCCTATCTCCATAATCATGTGTTCCACAGGACAATAATAACCCCTACCATGATCACCACTTGAACTAGTCCTATACTCACTAGTCCACTGAAGATCTCCCAAATACAAAATCACCCCTTTGGCCACACAACTCCTCAAGAGGTTCTTGAGCTCCACAAACTTCTGCTCAACCTCCACTCTAGAGGAATTTCCAAAAGAAGAAAGAGTAAGTGGTATGAATTTCACACCTCTTAGACCTTCAGGAACTTCTAATAATTCCTTCTCCACTTTATCCATCACTCCCCTAACCACACCCTCAATGTTACTAATACACTCTCCCACAACCACAACACTTCTCTTTTTTTTGCTCACCAAAATCTCTATCACGCTCATGACATCCTCATTCCTAACGGGTTCCGACGAAACCGCCGGTTTGCCTACCTTAGAGCCGTTTATAACCATAGGAGATTGCTGATGGGAGAGAACCAAAAGATTACTCTCCTTGGACTTGTTATTATTACTACTTACGGAATTTGGGTTGGTACTACTTTGTGAACATATCTCCAAAGAAACGGCTTGCTCAATATTGCTCTTCACTTGAGTACTCGAAAACCCGGCCTCTCGCATGACTCTACTCACGCTGGGGTCATCCAAGATGGAGATAATGAGCTGCTCCAATTCTATCTTCACGGCCAAGAGTGGCTGCTGCTGGTTCTCAATAGAGCCTCGTCTTTGGTGAGCCTGCGCTCGCTTGAAGGCCGCGATTAGGGCGTTGGAGATCGAGGGGTGCTGAGTATGATGGTGGTGATTCCCCAACATAGGGCTAGAATTCGACGCTGGCAGACGATTAAGAGCGACGTTGAAGCAAAGCTCTAGGGCTTTGCACTGAAGAGGGTGAGAGTGGGATTGAAGACAAGCCGTCCTCAAAAGGCCGGTGGAAGATGCGAGCATGGTGTTAGCCACGTGAAGAGGCGTCACTTGGGCGTGGCCTCGGCGGCGAGCAAGCGTCACCGCTTGCTTCACGACGCTTGCAGCATCGGCGGTGAGACCCTGCTGAAGCGAGCAGCCTCCGGCTCTCATGATATTGATCTTGATGTATGAAGCTTTTTTCTTTGATCTTTTCTCTTCTTTTCTTGTCTTCCGAACACAGAATACAAGACGGGGATTGAATTCTAATAAGTACGGTATTTAACTAGCATGGTGATGAGGTTTTTGGATTCAAAGGAAAAGAGAGAAAGAAGTAAAATAGGGTAAGATTCAGGAGATCAACTTTAGGAAGCAGTAGTAGTAGTACTCCTGCTGCCTAATATTGATATATATATATATATAGATATATATAGGTGTATATTTTGTAGGTTTTCAACTGATCGTCACCTAGCTATATATCTATAATCTGTTATATGCAGTGTGGTTTTATGTCAAGCTTGTTTGTTATCTAGTCTAGATCTTTGATGATCTGGCTAGTCGTGTGGAGAGAGAGAGAGAGAGAGAGAGAGAAGGGGAGTGGGACTGAAATTTATGCGAGGTGGGCTGTGCTTTTCTTGTAGGTGAGGTAAATTTTTGGGGTCCAAAGTCGATTTTGTAGTGGAAAGTGGACTGCATGTGCTGACAAGCAGGACGGAATTCACCAGTACCAAAGGCAGCTCAGCTTTGCTCTCTCTCTCTCTCTCTCTCTCTCTCTCTCTCCCTCTCTCTCTCTCTCTCATATTATCAAATTTCATAAAAGATAAAACATATGGCGTTTCTAAGTGGGTCTCTCTCTTTTATGCAAATAAAACTTTAAATTATGTATAATAAAATTGTGGTACTAACCTAGAAATAAACATCCCGCACTGAGTATTCAACAATAATCTTTGTTTTGCTTTGCTCTTCTTTTCTTAATTTATTGCACTAATTCATTGATCAAGCTGGCCAATAAATTATTGTCTTTTTTTTTTTTAATTTAATTTCTTTTTGGGTACACAAAGGAAGTATTCCTTCCTAATATATAAACACAACAAAAATGGACTTCAACAAAGTGAAGAACGCAATATGTAAAAAAGGAAAAGTAACTAAACTTCTAAGTTTAAATATTCACTCATACCTTTAGTTTGAACGATATTCGTCAAAACCCTTACCAATAAATGAACATTGTATACCATTTATCTTTTAACCAACAATCACATATTTAAAAATATCAACTTTTAGGCTCACCTTATTATCACATAAGTTTACATGGTAATTCCTTACTCGTAATGATTCTAGATTTTAATATAAATTTTGTGTGGCTTATATATAATTAAGAAATATGTGAATATATCGTTAGTAAATCAATGGAAATAAATTATTGGTTATTGATATATCATTAGGAGGCCGTAAAAAAAACTAAACAGATACCATAAATTAACAGAATGTAATGGAAATTTAACGATTAAAAACTATGTGCTAGTCAACTTGATATGGGATATTTTTTCTATACCTTAAACATATAGAATTCTCCGTATCATTACTTCAACAAAAACAAAACTCTACGGATTATCTCATTGCCACATTCAAATCCAAGTGGACCATTCTCTATCCTAAAAAAGAAAATATGGCTCTCTCTCACTCTTCCCACGTAAGAGAGAGAGGGGCAAAGAGAGAGGAGAGAGAGAGGCAAAGAGAAGAGGGAGGTCCTCATGCCTCTGATGGGCTCATTTTCTTTTTCACCATCCGCCAAAACCGAGGACCTGAAAAGAAAAGGGGGACTATATGTCTCTGAAAGGAATCGGGAACTGTGTACGATTTTCCTCAGGACTCAAAAAGAGAGAGAGAGAGAGAGAGAGAGAGAGAGAGAGAGACATGGATTGGAATAAAGCGACCCCATTTTTGGTGATTATTACGGTTATCACAAAGCTAGCTAAGCTTCTTGACGCTTTGAATATTGTTATACTATACTACTACTACTGCTGCATGGGGATTTAGAAACCCACAAACATTCCCTCATTTTTTTCTCTCTGTCCATTATTACATAAAGTTGGAGCTTTTTGGATCCTCCTTGATTGGTTCAAAAATGAACAAACACATCCACCAAAATTAATAATTAATATTTTTTAATATATATATATATATCAATCAATTGAACAATAACGACTTTCGGAACTCATGAGAATTGATGGGTCTTTTTCTTTTTCTTTTATTTTTTTTTTCTCCTTTCTTTCCTTAACGTGTCCAATACAAGGAAATTTTCGTTCCCCTATTTCAACACTGTGCATGCCGAGTCACAAAAAGGCCTAGCTGCCTAATTGCCTAATTGCGTCATTACAAAGATACATATTGCTTCCAAGCAATTGTAACATCATAAGTCACTTTTATTGCCCAGCAAATCACTATTTGAAAGACCCAAAAAACGCGTTTTCTCATTAATATGGCTATGTGATGTGCTTTATGTTATGCTGATTAGAGAAGGAAACTAACAAGCTTTTGGGAAGGGGAAAGCTTTTGACTTGGTTTCCAAATGTTAATATTACCTAAACTTGTCTTCTTTCTCACTTAATTAAGCTTATTGTAGCTTCCTTAACCCCATAGATATGTTCTTGTTCAATGTTTAATTATAATAAAATAAAGTGAGAAACATGATAATTAATTTTTAAAATTACAAGTACCAATTACTCTTCGTGAGTTGATTATATATATATATATATATATATATATTATATACAAAAGATCAAGATTTGACTGATCCGTATAACTCCAACCGGATGGAAGGACCACCATTTCAGAATCAACAACCCCCCTATTAGGAAAGGTCACTTTCATACCATGATATTGGCGAAGATACTCATAATATTGTAGCAAGCTAGTTCCAAAATGCGACCTCTCAATATTATTCTATCCTATGCCACAAGATCGTTCAACACCATGCATGTTGAATAATCAAAAAAGTTATAACTAGAAGCAAACCAACAAACTGCTTCAAAAGGGCATGACAATTATGGAAGATAATAAATTAACCTTGGAAAAAAAGTGATTGAAAAAAAAAAAGGATTATTGGAGATTAGCTAGGCTTTCAGCAAATTATTTCTAGGAAGATATATAATTATCCTTTGGTTTAACTTTTTTTTTTGGTTTTGTCAAGCCAAAAAGAATTTGTTGATACAATTATTTAAGATTCATTTTAACCCTTGTTCTTCCTCTTATTCTTATTGAGACTTACAACTTATGGGTGCTTTAGCTTTATTTATTTTTCGCCAATATATTAGTTTGCCGCTGAAGTAGAAATAACTTTATCTAGAAAGCAGAGCTAACCCACTCACTACTTACCACCTTATATCGAGTGTATAAATATATGAAATTTGATCACTAGCAAATGAAGCATATTTTTCCCGCAAGATACGAGGGATTTACCTTTTGTCCCTCAATGATCTTCGACTTTAACCTATTTAATATTAAAAAAACCATTAGTACTCCTTTCTTAATTTAACTTAATTATAAGAGCTTAACAGTCTGAATGTAGCCTTAAAAAAGAAAGGGCAATTTTTCAAAAAATACCCTTTAAAATAGAGTCCCCTTTTATTTCTAGCTCTCAACATTAACCCACATATATTTTTACCTTTTAGACTAGAACTAGTCAAAGGGTAGAGTTTTTTAAAATTTGTACTTTTAATAAGTAAGTTACTTAAGGAGGTAGAATGAGTATAATTTTCTCCAAAAGAAAGTAGCCTTTAAAACAAATGTTAAAGAACTTTGAAACAAAAAAAAAACAAAAAACAAAAAAAAAGCTTCAATATTCAAGAAAATATTATGGAAATATGTCAAATTGACGAGAATAATGTGTTCCTTGTTAGGCTTAATTATAACAAATATCTTCTTTCTATTTTCTACTATTTTCTATAAGTAATCTTCGTTTCTGAAAATTACAATTCAATACTCTGTAATTTGATTTTATCTGTAAATTCGTTCCTAACAATGTAATATTTGAAAACAAAAATCAAAATGTGATATTTACCCTTTTAAAATATACGAGATACTATGTATTACTCATACATATCCAAACAACTAGTATCAATGCATTAATAGAGGGTTCAAAGAGTAGTATTTTTCTATTTTGATTATATATATATATATATATATATATATTAAAAAAAAGAATAATAACTCCAATTGTATATATGACGGACATTACCAATTGTTGCATGGTTAAGAATGTTTCAAATTCCATTACTTTATGCATGTGCGTTCCATGTATCTGCAGTACACATATATTAAATGAGTTCTAGTGATAAGCCTACGATTTCACGAGCAACTTAAATGATTCTTATTTTAGGATGTTTATTAAACCGTTTTAGGATGTTTATTAAACCGTTGATGTAATGAAAAGAAATGCAATTGAAAGGTAAAACGAAAGAATAAGAATTAAGATCATTTATTCCTTTTTTTGATGTTTTGTTATTAGAAAATAGAAATGGAAAATAATCCAATTTTCTTCTTAGTGTTTACTAAATTAGAAAATAAGAACCTTATTAATATATCACTAAAATATTGTAGAAGTTAAATAATTATTGGCCTATAACATGTCAATTTATCAAGAATATATAAGTAAATAATTTGGCATTCATTCCTTTTAACCGAAAATCAATAGAAAACAAGTGTTAGAACTTACATTTTTACTCATTCTCAATAGTGTGTAGCATTTACAAAGCTACCATTCCTAATTCTATAAATACTTAAATTTGAATAAGAAAGGGAAACACTCTCCTTTATTCTTTTCCCTTTTATTGTGAAGTTATCAGGCAACTAGGTTTAGAGTTCTGTTTGTCCTAGACGAAGAAATTTCAATCTGAAAATATTACATACTTTAAAACAAATGCATGTTCTGATCTATGGAGCCAAACAGTCCTCCATAACAAACAAAGTAATCCAAAACCCCTGACTGTTTATTCTTACTCGGCTAGCATTCTCTGGCCCATTTCCCAGTCAAAAAGCTTCTTCTATCTTTTGTTGGCCTAAAAAGACATACAAAGGCACAAAATAATTTGAATAGAAAGCATATTCTGCAAATGCTAGAAAAGGAGTGCTTGAATGGAGGGGAATATATATGTACAATTGCTTAGAATACACCCTAACCCATTCCTTTCTTGTTCTCTCTATTGTCTATTCTGAGCAATGTTTAACGGTTTAACTTTGTCATTAATAATGGGTAACTATAACAAAAGGTCATGTTTAGATTGTTGTTTGTGGAATCGATTGATGTGTCTCTTTATTCGTGTCTCTTTTCATGTCATTTTAATAATATTATGTCACGTCAATTAAAGTTTTATATCACGTCAATTAAAATTTTATATCACGTCGATTAAAAAGCTATGGTAGTTACTTGATGTGTCAAGATCTTATCGGGGGACACAATAAGGACGTATGAGCTTAATCCGTCGTTTGTGCCTTTTAATTGATGAATCTTGTGTTTGGAGTTCACGAGATTTGTGTCAAAGTGAAAGTCATTAGGGACATTTATCTTTTGTGTTATCTCACTATCATAGTCCTTACTTTGTCATGGGAACACATTGCATTGGACGTATAATTATTTTGTTTGTTTAATATTTCTCTCTTTTGGTTAAAGTAAAGCACTCTCTCATAAAGCAATATTAAAAGTAAAATATGGCATTATCTACTCAAAAGGGCCGCTCATTTTTATGCTTTTGAGCCTTCAAATAAGCATCTTTAGCTTCTACGTGGCCATGTGGTTGAAAGCAATATCCAAGAGAGGGAACAAAAACACAATCACATTAACACACGCATATATATATATATATATATAGAGAGAGAGAGAGAGAGAGAGAGTTAATAGCATTTGGATGGCCGGCCAGACTTAAAGGTTACAATTGGAGAAAAAGTTGCTCTAATTTTGACATGACAGCCTTGTTAATGTAAAGGTGATGGGGAATTACGTACCACACTCCTTTTCCATAAAGTTCTCATTATTTTTATGCAAAATATATCCGCGACACTCCAAAACAAACTTGTGCAGTTTCAGTTTAAGCTTAAAAGGCTAGAATCATTAGAGTAGAATTAGTTAATTTAGCTCGTAATTATCTTTCCCACACACACACACACACACAAAAGGCTAGTAATCATCTTCTGCGGAATAACTGCTGAAAATGGGGGAGACCTCGTGCTGATTCAGCTATGAAAGAGATCATGTATGCTGAAATCCAGCCTCCAATTATATTGTGATAGCCAGTTTTGTGTTATGCTTTTCTTTCTTTATGTCTTTCCTTTTCTATTGTTGCCCTGTTTGTTTTATAGATTTGAACTATAATTTAAATTTTGTTGCTAATAATATTTTTTCGCAAAAATTTGAATTTCCGTTCAACGGAGGATTCATGTTTTTTCAGTTCACTGAGAAACGGAACTTGATAACACCCTGCATTATAGGATGTGGATGCTAATTCACCAACATAACGGCATCAACAGAAGTGTTTTTACCCTTCTTTAGTATACAACATTAAGCTGATCATCGATAATGGTTTGGGGTTTTCTTCTTCTATAGCCTCTTGGCGATTGATGGTACGTTTATTTTCCTTTGTTTTTCTTTCCCCTTCCATATCTTCCAAAGCATCATGATTCTATTGCCAGGAATTACGCTTAGACAAGAAACATATTCCAGCACTAAATCAACGACAATGCGAGAAATTTGTACAAGTGTGCTAGCCAAATGGAAGAGCAAAGGAAGAAGCCATGCTGCCAATCCGAGGTGTTAGATTGAGCAGTATGCCAGCAACAAAAGTGTAATGTAGGAAACATTTTCAATCAACAAATGGTCACCAGAGAACCATGTATACTTTCTATTGAATGCATTTGTACAAACGAAAAAGCTACGTTGACACCGATTACATGAAGAAAAGAAAATAAGAGACTAAGAGAGTTCTTCCTTGGTAGTTTATTTGGATGATCTATTCTACACGATATGAAATCATCTTACCTCTATGATGAAACCAAAACTTTATTGTATATATCATATATAACCAGAAAATAAGAGCCTCACCCATCCGGACCGTTTGGTACGTCCTCAAGAATATCATTATGAAGTAGTGGAGAGAGCAAGCTCTCAACATTTGATCTCTGCTTCCTAATTTCCTCAAGTATTAATAATCGAGCAGCCTCGCAAGCTTTTGCGTCTTGAAAACCAAGCGTCCATTTTCCATCCGCCACATGACTGGGCATGTTTGAGTGGTAGCCTTTCTTTTTGTTAGAAACAAATTTTGGATCAAACTCTCTAATCCGAAGATGCAACCATATTGGATGGACTTCGTCTATCTTTGGCTGTTTCACGATCAAAAAGGAAAATGTTGAGAGCATCATCATCATCATCGTTACTGCCTAAACATATGCTCGATGCTTCTACAGTATATCCATAACAAAGGTTTACCTTTTGAATTACCAAATGGGAAAACTTGACAGGCAGCAAGGTAAAATTCACCCTTTAAAACAACTTACACTAAGGCCAGCCAGTGGTGCCATAGTCAGTACAACTCCACGTTGACTGCGGAAAGGATGTTTCTTGACGAGAAGCAATCTACCAGAAATTACTGTTGCCACAGGAATTGCATAGACGTTCCTGAATCCAGCATTGGAAAATGCAATTCTGCAAGGGACACCAGATGCTACCAAGAAAAAAATGAAATGTCACAAATGAGCCCAATCATGCAAAATGTTTCTAAAGTTCTGTTGGAACAATACGGAACCTAAAGAAACTTCTGAACCAAAACTTGCAGATGAAACTCCCGAAGCATGGGTTTGACCAGAACCAGCACCTGGACCTTGCATTGTGTTTGGCAACGGATGTTCAAGCAAACTTCCTCTGTACATGAATGACTTTAGCTGAAGAAGGAGAATGAAAACCTGCAGATAAATTGATAATAAGACATCCTTCGACCCAAAGGATTCAGATGTTAAATTACTAGGAAAAATAAGAGGTAGCTAATGTTCGCATAAAGGAACCAAAACACCATATATTTGGAAGAGAGAAAAACAGTTATAGGAAACAACCAGAGTAAAAAAATGAGCATTTGCTAAGTCTGATAATACACTCTTCAATATTAATATGCTCAAGTAAAATGCAGTAAAAATGGGTGCCAGTTCCGGGAACAATGCGACTAAGTCTGGCCATAAATTGAAACATTCTGCAGGTGAACACATTCGGAAATTTTGCAAAAAAATAATGGCTTGAAAAGTATCAAATCAAAGCACTGTTGTAAAAATATTAGGCCAGCACCAGCAACGAAAGCATCTCATTTTGTTATGAATTGATATGATCTGAAACTAATTTAAAACCTAACAAAAATCAACGGCAACTCTCTAACAAAAAGAAAAACAACAAAGACTGCAAACAGAGATATAAGAATGAGATCAGACCTTCACCGTATCAGCCATCCTTTGCCAAGCAGTGTATGCAGTTGTATTATTATAAATAATATTCATTTACTTTCCAATAGAAGCAGGTCGTAAAAGCCAGTATATTGGGGAGGTGGACCTTGATCCATTGAGAAAACGCTAGTAACCAAAACACAATTGTGGTACCATAAGTGGTTTGTTGGGCAACAGCAAGCTCTAGTATGAAAAAAGGATCTTTGTGTTGGCACGGTTCTTCCAAAGCTGCATGCAACATAATAGTAGATAATCTAATTCAGTGCAAGCTTTCTCAAATACAATGTAGGATAATCAATTGTCCCCTTTTCTTCTACAATATTTGCTTTTACTTGGCTATATAAAGTACCTGAAAATTAGAGGCACTACCTCAAAATACACATTATTTGCGGGGAATGGAAAGCAAAATAATGTGATATGAGAAAGAAAGTTACCTGTTTTACAACTCATCCATTCATTTCTTAAAGTATCTGGGATGCTATCAAACCAACATCCGTCTAGTTCTTTCTCTAGCTGTTGACGGGACTGCTCATATGCAATCTGTCAATAGAAGCATTGAATCAACAATACTTCCAATACTCCAGGAATCTATATAAAAAAAAAATATTTGAGATACTTTAAACTAAATCAGTTTTTTCTCTTCTAGTCTTTCTTTTTTGGCTAACTAAATCAAATCAGTTAAGTCTTACACTAAATAGCTCTAAGTTATGATCATCAAGCATATTCCCTCCAACAATCAGTAGCTTCTGCAGGAACCATCCTGTATGCCATTTTATTAGTACAGATATTGGTGCCTTGCTTGCTAATACCTTCAATAATGCATTTAAAATCTGTAAAATGAAAATTTTCTTCATCATAACACAGAAGGTTGTTTGAACGTGAATAGAAATCACAAATTGACTTGAAATGTGGAATAAACATATTAAGGAGACATATAGAAAGCAGTATATTGACATAAGCTGTTTTGAAGCAATCACAACAATCATCCATTGCATGGATTCTATACCTGATGGATGAATCTTGAAACGAAATTTCCATCCACTTCATGCAGTCCATTTAAGCCAATAATTGGAATCAGTAAGCAATTAAGATCTAACAAATGCATTAAGAAAAAAAAAGATAAACAAAATTACTCAAATAAAATAAAGGGAAAAAAAATTTGTTATATTGGAAGTCCATGCCTAAACTCTAGACAACAATGGAAAGGAGAACTGATACCTCTACTTTCTTCTACGATGAGCAATAAAAACAATGATGCCAGCACTAGACTCTGATTCTCAGAAAAAATAAATGCACTTATTCCACTCCTGCACCAAAGAAAACTTGTTCTAAGTGAAATTCACAAACTAAGCATATAAAGTGGGTTTTATAGACGCCCATAAACTATACCCACGATGATATATCTTTTTATGTCAAGTGAAGTTAGTAGACAAAGAAAGTGAGATAGTTGGATATTAGCGTATGACACATCACATTATGATGAAAATTGTTTAATTGTTCAAACTAAAAATGGATAAATAATATGTAGTAACAAAACAAACAACCTCTTCATACAGGCATCATGCCGCGGGCAGCTGACATTTTCTCCTTCAAACTCAGCACAGGCAAATACCATTTCCTCCATTGTATATGGATGCTCAGAAAATGCATTAGAAATATTATTGTCCCCAGCTGTGTTTCTTTTGATAGCATGGTCATGTACGGATATAGAATAGCACCAGCCACAGTATTGACCAAAATTTTTCCACCAACAACTTGAAGAAGATGAGAAACAAGATATAGAGAAGTGACTGCAGATAGATTTGTGACCTGAAGTGTAAATAGAAGCAATGAATGATATAGCTAATAGAGGAGAAAGAAAACAATGTTGTAGATTACATATACAAATGGTTTCAGTCATATTCAACAAAATATCTTTAGTTATTCCTATTATTTCTTGAACTTCTCTTTCTACGGAATATTAAAGACGCAAACATCCATTCTTGTTCTTCTCATTTTGATTATATATGTCACATGATAGCAGCTAATGTAGGTTAAGACTAAGCTAATCACTGATAAACAACCAAGTTCAAAACCAAATAATAATGTAAAAGATGTGAATATAGACAACTTTGCTTATATTGAGAAGTCTTAGATACCCCTAAAAAAAAATGTTGGATAATTGTCATTTTTACTTTTCCCGTAAACTGAATCATGGCCACATCAAGCTGATACTTCCAAATTTCATCCTTTTATAATCTATTGGGAAAAAAAAGTAAATTATGCGTTAAGCAATTCTTAATTGGATCACTATTCAATTAGACTCAAAGTATGACCAGGCCAATAGATAATCTCAGTGCTTCATATCAAATCCATAATAACTCACACAAAATAGTTTGTTCGAATTCAATCAGTTTACTAAAGATAAATGATCAAGTAGAATTTCATATGTACTTCTATAGACAATACACGAGGTTTCTAGAAAAACCAACCATGCCAAGCAATTGCAGTTGAAGAATTATCAATTACTTTGAAATACTCCTAATGGAGAAAAGCAGAACACCTTTGTATGCAAGAAAACACATGCTTATTCAAACAATTTTAAAATAACCCTCTGAAAAGCATGATTATTGTTTCTACTGTAGTTGTTAAGAAATAAATAAACAAGCAAATACAAAAAAGAATGTCTCACATTGCTTTGCCTGGATGTCAGCAACGGATGCAACACTGGAAAGACTAGCAAGCTAAGAAGATTTTCAGTAACTAATCCACTCAAACGAGAGTTGCCAACATCAAGTATGTCCTTAAAGTAATACAGATCATTGATGATTTTATCAACTTGAAAAAGTAGCTGTTTTCTTTTTTCATGAGTGCATGTGCCCCTGCATTAAAGGTAAAAGTTTAGCGTACCATATATGCACTGCTAGTGCTAGCTAATCCTTGATAGAAAAAGACAATGATAGATTCCACACAGAAAAGCAGCAAAATGATAGGAAAGGAAGCTGGAAATTGGTATTAATGGAAGCCAATCGGAAATACAGAAAAATGCAAGAAAGTAAGATAGGTATTGAGCTTTCGAGAGGCTCAATTCTCTCCCAGAGGAACTACTATTCTTTTCTCACTAATTGCCTGCCTATTTTCCCGCAATCCCCCCTACTTATTCCATTACAACTGAATTCTCCTATAACTAACACACATCCCCAGGCTCCCACACAAGTTACCCAAATAGGCCTTACCGTACCAACTAATTCCACTCACCGCCCCCCCCCCCCCCCCCCACGTGCTTGTCACGCCTAGCATAAGTGAACCGAATAAGGGGCTTATCAGTGCTCCCCTCCCAATGAGTCACCTTGTCCTCAAGGTGAAACGTGGGAAATTGTCCTTGGATTAACTCAAAAGGTTCCCAAGTGGCCTCTACAAGAGATTGACTTTTCCACTGAATCAGCACCTCTAGGGGGTGTGTACCAGTTGCCGAAGACGTGCGCAAGCTGAGTACTTTCTCTGGCTCGATCAACAGCTCATACTCTTCAGTCAGGTGGGGAGGCGCGGAGATCACCGACGTGGAGCCCACCGCACGACGGAGTTGGGACACGTGGAACACAGGATGAAGAGAAGAAGACTCAGGCAACTGGAGTCTGTAGGCGACCGCTCCTACTCGCGAGAGGACTTTGAAAGGTCCATAAAACCGGGGAGTGAGCTTCTCATTAGGACGTCGAGCTAAGGATTTGAGGCGATAGGGTCGGATCTTCAAGTAGGCTAGGTCCCCTTCTTCGAACTGCACATCCCGGCGATGCCTATCTGCTTGGTGCTTCATTTTCTGCTGTGCCCGCAGCAACTGCTGGTGTAATTCCTCCAAGACAGCGTCGTGGTCCCGCAGTTGCTGGTCCACCGCCGAGAATGGAGTGGAACCAACCACAAAACGCAGCAAACGGGGAGGGTCCGGACCATAAACCGCCTGGAAAGGTGTGGTTCGTGTGGCCGTGTGAAACGACGTATTGTACCAATACTCTGCCCATGGCAGCCAACGTGCCCACATCCTAGGCCGGGTGGAAGCAAAACAGCGCAGGTACGTCTCCACGGAACAATTGACAACCTCGGTCTGCCCATCCGTTTGAGGGTGGTATGCTGTGCTATGCTTGAGCACCGTTCCCTGAAAACAGAAGAGTTCAGTCCAGAACTTGCTCATGAACACCTTGTCCCTATCGGAAACAATGGAAGAAGGAATGCCATGGAGGCGGACTACCTCTTTCACAAAGAGTCCGGCTACCGACTGAGGCGTGAATGGGTGTCGGAGTCCCACAAAGTGGGCATACTTGCTCAGCCGATCCACGACGACTAAGATAGCGTCGACCCCCTCGGAACGCAGAAGTCCCTCGATGAAATCCATCGAAACATCCTCCCAAATGCGGTCCGGTATTGGCAACGGCTGCAGCAATCCCCCGGGAGCCGAGGTGGTATTCTTGTTTTGTTGGCGTACGGTGCACTGCGCCACATACTGTAGGATATCCCGCTTCATCCCTGGCCAATAGAAGCAACCCTGCACTCTCTTAAGGGTCTTCAAATAGCCGGAGTGGCCCCCCACAACACCGTCATGTAACTCCTTGAGGATAGTCCCCACCAGCGGTGAGGAGCGTGGCACCACCAGTCGGTGGTGATATAACAAACGTCCCTGCACGAGACTATACCCCGCAGGACCAACGCCGCCCTGTTTAAGGGTGTCAACCACGACTCGAAGCTTCTCATTCTGCATCACATGCGCGTCGAGGTCCCCTAGTATTAGGGAGTATGGAGCAGCCAGGGCCGCGAGGGAAGGAAGTGGTTCCCGGCGGGACAAGGCGTCCGCGGCCTTGTTGTCCAAGCCGGACTTGTAGTGAATATCGAAATCATAGCCCATGAGTTTGGTGAGCCACCTCTGGTACTCAGCGCTAACCTCCCACTGTTCCAGCAAGTATTTAAGGCTCCGTTGGTCGGTGCGGACCACAAAGCGGCGGCCCAAAAGGTAGTGGCGCCACTTGCGGATGGCCATCACAATTGCCATCAATTCGCGCTCGTAAGCGGATTTCAAACGCGCGCGAGAGGAGAGTGTCTAGCTGAAGTAGGCGAGGGGGCGGTTGTTTTTTATCAACACCGCTCCCAGGCCATGGCCGGACGCATCCGCCTCTACCACAAAAAGCTGAGTAAAGTCGGGTAAGGCCAAGACGGGTACCGTTGTCATGGCTTGCTTGAGGCGGGAAAAAGCCTCTGTGGCCGCAGCATCCCAGTGGAAGCTGTCGCGCTTAAGGAGCTGGGTGAGCGGCCAAGCCAGGGTGCCCTAACCAGCCACGAACCGGCGGTAGTAACCTGTAAGCCCGAGGAACCCTCTCAGCTCCCGCAGCGTAGTTGGCGTTGGCCACTGGAGCATGGCTGAGATTTTAGCGTCATCCGCTGCCACCCCCTTGGCGGAAATGACATGGCCAAGGTACTCCAGTTGGGATTGGCCGAACTCACACTTCTTCTCATTGGCAAATAACTGGTGCTCCCCCAAAATGTCTAGGACCCTTCACAAATGGATGACATGATCGTCCATGGTCCGGCTGTACACTAAGATGTCATAAAAAAAACGAGTACAAACTGCCGCAGATGCTCCTTGAAAATCTCATTCATGAGAGCCTGAAAGGTTGCCGGGGCATTGGTAAGCCCGAAAGGCATTACCAGGAACTCATAGTGGCCGTCGGGGGTTCGAAATGCGGTCTTAGGAACGTCCTCTTGCCTGACACGGATTTGATGATATCCCAACTTGAGATCGAGTTTGGAGAAAACCGTGGCCCCTTAGAGTTCATCCAATAATTCATCGATCATCGGGATCGGAAATTTGTTCGACACTGTCGCTTTGTTCAATGCGCGGTAATCCACGCAAAACCTCCAACTACCGTCTTTTTTCTTAACTAGTAGAACTAGGCTCGAATAAGGGCTAATACTTGGCTGAATTATTCCTGCCGCCAACATATCCTGCACCAAACGCTCAATCTCGGTCTTTTGAATCTGCGGATACCTGTAAGGCCGCACGTTTATTGGCGCAATGCCCGGATGGAGTGTGATCGCGTGATCTCGTCCACGACTCGGTGGTAGCCCCTGTGGCCACTCAAAGACACACCGGTGCTGTTGCACTACTTCCACCAGGGATTGTGGAACAGCCGCCTACTTTCCCCCATCATCCACGGAGATGCTTCCTAGTTCCAGCAGCACCCCTTCCTCCTGCTCACGGAAAGCCTTAACCATGGCCTTAAGTGATGCCCGGGAGTGACATAGGCTGGGATCCCCTTGAAGGGTCACCGCGACTTCCAATTCACCTGCATGCCACCTAGGGATTCAAGCCACTGCATGCCCATGATTACATCGGCACTGCCTAGTTCCAAAGGTAGGAAATCCTCAATGATCTCAATGTTCTAGAGGGTTAGCACGACTCCTTTACACACTCCCTCTCCTTTTATGGTTATTCCCGTGCCCATCAATACGCCATAGCAATTAGTCCCAACCTTCGGGATACCCAATTTTTCAACCAACGCTACCGAGATGAAATTATGGGTGGCCCCACAATCGACCATCACCACCACCTCTTGCTGGCCAATTCGCCTATTAACCTTCATGGTTTTTGGGGTGGTCAGGCCAACTACAGGGTTAATGGACAGTTCCACGGTCTCGCGGACCTCCTCCGTGCCTTCCTCCTGCCCTTCCCTCTCGGCCTCATCCCACTCCCCTGCTTCTATCTCATCATTAATCATTAGAATGTGAAGTTCCTTGTTTTTGCAACGATGACCAAATGAGTATTTCTCATCGCAACGAAAACAAAGTCCCTTATCCCTCTTAGCTTGCCACTCCGCATCAGTCATTCGCTTAAAAGGGAAGAGGGGTTGTGGATGGGTTACCTGGAGGACGTGGCCCCTGCGCCTGGGCCTTTGGGATTGAAGGGAGCTGGCCGGTTGGATTCGCCGAAGGGCCCCCGCTCGACGTCCGTCCCCATGGCCCCGCCACAGCCGCTCGATTCGGTCGTAACATGCTATTTCTGTCTTCGACCCGTTGGGCATACTCCATGATCCGGGTCAACCCGCTGGGGTTAGCCAAACAGACCTCCACCCGAACTTCCTGTTTTAGCCCGTTGATAAAAGTGCTTTCCATCACCTTTTCTGGAACTTCATTCAACGGATAAGCCAAGAGTTCAAACCTTCGTCGGTACTCTCGTACCGACCCCTCCTGGCGGAGAGCCAGAAATTTCTCGCAGATGGACCCCTCCTAAGTCAAACGGAATCGATCCAGCACGTGGATCCTCAGTTCCTGCCAGCTGCGAATGGGTCTCCGTCCATCCACCCATTGAAACCAGGCAAGGGCCTCTCCATCCATACAGATCGCCGCCGCCTGTAGCTTCTCGGGCTCCGTTAGCCGGTTGACCGCGAAGTATCGCTCCGCACGGAACAACCAGCCCTCTGGATTCTCCCCGTCAAACATGGGCATCTCCAACCGGCGCGTGCGTGGTTCACCCCGATCCCAATTGGAATGCTCAATTCCAGTGGGTCCGCTGGGTCGACCTTCCTCCCCCGCGGTGAACGTCCCCCCCTAGTTCGAGGACTCCGGGTGGAGCAATTTTCCCTTATTTCCCCCATTTCCGCCCAGTCGCGACGGATCCTCCAACTTCTATAACGCCTGTTCCACCCGATCGAGCACCGACATCCGCGCCACGATGGTATCCAGGCTCCTCTCCAACACCGCAAGACGTTGACGATCTCCTCGGAGCTCCCGCAGCTCCCGCTGAAACTCCCCCGGGTCTACCTCTTCCGTCGGTGCCTGTTGTTCCTCAACCCGGTCCTCCGCCACCTCTCCTCGGCCTGCAATCCTTCTGTTCACCATCGTCCGATGACTTGCTCTGATACTAGATGATAGATTCCACACAGAAAAGCAGCAAAATGATAAGAAAAGAAGCTGGAAATTGGTATTAATGGAAGCCAATTGGAAATACAGAAAAATGCAAGAAAGTAAGATAGGTATTGAGCTTTCGAGAGGCTCAATTCTCTCCCAAAGGAACTACTATTCTTTACTCACTAATTGCCTGCCTATTTTCCCGCAATCCCCCCTACTTATTCCATTACAACTTAATTCCCCTATAACTAACACAGATCCCCAGGTTCCCACCCTCACGTGCTTGTCACGCCTAGCATAAGTGAACCGAATAGGGGGCTTATCAGACAACTGCATAAAAATTGAGAACTTACTGTGAAGCATGAACAAGGACATCAAGATTAAAGCATTGATGTCTTACTCTTAAAACCATGTCGGAGAAGTACTTTGAGACTGGAGGAGTTGTTATGTACTGATGAACCATATCATCACAAACTGCATAACCAAAGGATACTGTTGCAAAATACCAAAAATGCATCTTATTTCATAGTTAAATGTATTGTATTCTATTTGCAGAGACAAAAAAAAAAAAAAAAAAAAAGGAAAAAAAGTTCTTAAAAAATAGGAACATGAGTTGATGATACCGTACCATAGTATTTGCCAAGGGCTAATGAACGTATGGCTGTTTGAATCATCTTTTCCTCATGGGAAGCAAATTTCAGTGCCTCAGTGAACAGAGGGAATGAGACTACAGCATCCTGCATATTGATTATAGAGATAGATAAAATCAAACTAAAAAACTCGAACTTTAACATTATAATTATAATAATATGGCTGATAATCAAGGAGCTGCCACTACTAGTCTTATGAGAGACTACAGAAAAGGGAACTGGACAGTAAGTGAAACGATGATCCTAATTGAGGCAAAGAAGATGGACGACGAGAGAAGAATGAAGAGAAGCACAGGAAACGACAGCGAAGGAGGATCAATCAGGATCAACAAACCGGCGGAGCTGAGGTGGAAATGGGTTGAGGATTATTGTTGGAGAAAAGGGTGTATGAGGAGCCAAAACCAGTGCAACGACAAGTGGGACAATCTCATGAGGGATACAAGTCCTATTTCCATATCCTATGCAAAATTATCTTCTTAATCTTCTTTTTCCCTTTAAGGAGTCTCACTTTTCTCAATGAATATCTAAGCTAGTGTGGCAAAGCACGAACTGGAACAGATCAATGGCGTCAATCATGTTCTCAAACACAAAATGGTTCAAACGAGATCTTATCCAAACCACGACTGGAACAAATAAATAAAAGGACATAAAAGCACATAAATAGCTCCATGTCTTTGGCATAGTAGACTATTATAACCTTGTCCACTAGGGCCACCACAAAAAATAAAAATAAAAAATGAAAAAAATGAAAAATGAAAAAAAAAAATATACTTTTATTTTAGTTAGTAACTTAGTTCTTTTTTTATTATTATTTTTTAGTGGTTCATTTAGTTACCTATGTAAGCATGCTAATCAAACTACTGTAAACTTAGTTTAAAACATATTATATAGTTCTTTCTATCTATTATAGCCTTCGACATGCAAGACGAATTTGCAGAGCTAAACTGAAATCAAATTCCTTTCTACACCGTACATATTGTAGGCAAAATGTACGTAAACAAGTCTCATACATACAAGCTCAAACTTACCCCATGAACCTTAACAAGAAGACAAATCGTGTCACTGTTTAATTTGTTGCTTACTGCTCTGAATTTGAGAGAGAGATATGAAAATTAGTTAGCAATAAAATTACTTAGTAACCAAGGTAAAACTACTAACTTCATCCAGAAACTGGAAGAAAGAGAACCGTGGTAGTTTTCCAAAAAACAAAAGGATCTAAACTTCTCTCCTATAAATGTCAATGGGGAAGTAGACAGAAAGAGATGACACAACCTTAAGAAGGACACATAATACTGAGCTAAATCTCCTCGGTCAAAATCAAACTGATGTATTATGATGTTGTTTATATAGTCATTGCTAAAACAATAGTCTGCAAAAAGAAACCATGGATCCATCGTTAATGCTATGAAAATCATCAAAGAAGTAATTAGCCAATGATTTTCATTCGCAAGAAAAAAAGAAAACAAAAGAAAAGAACATAAGCTCAAGGGAGCTAAATTTAGATATCTGTGACATTTAGATTAACTTACAAATTGCGTGTTCGCTATCTAGATTTTGGATCATTATGCTAAGATACTGAAGCAATGTAGCTTCAATCCTCGAATTGTTACTAATCTTAAGTAAACGAACAAACTCGGCTAAAACTTGGTTTTCCATAAAACATCTGCATAAAGTACCAATAGATATGGTATAAACCAGCATATCTAAAACCAAAAACCTTATTGGAAAGAAAAGAGAGGTTATTAATGCCGTTACTCCCTGAACTTTGAGCATCGAGATATCTTGGCCCCTTAACTTTTAATTTTGACAAATTACTCTTTAAATTTTTTATTTTTGACACTTTTGGTCCCTATCACTAAAATTGACGAACAATTTTTGAAATTTAACATAGATAATCATGTATTCTTCGTGTATTAACTTGAAATTTTACATAAATAGTTATCTTATAAGCAACATGTTCTCGAGTACTTCCATAACTCATTGAAACCTAAAACATTGTGCACTTCACGTAACTACGTAAAATTTTCAGTTGTTACACAATAGGAATGCAATTGTGTTAAATTTAATAAATCTGTAGTCAATTTTAGTGTCACGAAAAAAATTAAAAGTTCAAGAAGTAATTTGCCTTAACTAAAAGTTCAGGACCAAAATATCATGATGCTCAAAATTCAGGTACTAACAACGCTAATAACCCAAAAAAAGAAAATGTGTGATGAACAATTCATACTCGAAAATCGCCGGATCTTGTTTATCACCATAAGTGACTATTTCCACTATACACTGCAAGAGATCTACCACTAATTCCTGGATCAGAAAACCAAAATTTAAAAAAAACAAAAAACAAAACAAAACAAAACAAAAGTTTTGACAAGAATTAAGAGCAATATTACGCAAAATCAAACTAAATTACCTTATTATGCTGATCCACAACTTTAATTCCGCGCAATTCGTTAATTACATGTCTACAATCCACAAAACAATATCGAATCAGCTCAAAATCACACGAAACCACGAAAATCAAAGAGATAAATCACCAAGAAACCAAAACGCATTGCTATAGGATTCAGCAATTCTGAGAGTTTTTGAGCAAAAGAACGTACTTGAAGTACTGGAGAGAGAAGCGGTCGATGGATCGCCAGAGAGAGAGCCACATGGGAATCGGCGGAGAGAGGTCTCGGAGGCGGAGGATCCGGCGGTGGGACGACGAAGCCGGAGTCGCAGAGAGTTGAAGAAGAAGAAGAAGAAAAAGAAGAAGTGATGGAGTTTGAGTGCATTTGTGGGAGAATTTTTGGGTCGGCGCGCCTTCGAGGGGCTGCTTTGGGATGCCCGTTTGGTAGTTACTTTCCAACAAACTTTCAACGTTAACCGCCGGTCCGTCCGGTGACGAGACGTGATCTTGGGTGTGACTAACAGGGTTCCGCCCAACTAAGAAGGGATTGTAAATTGGGCCGGGACAACCCAATGATCTTCATTGGAAAAAAGAAATGAAAAAACAAATTGTAGTAAAATTACCGAAGTTACCCGTAAAAGTGTATGAGTCTGAATTTATATCATTTACTCTTAATTAGTATCCTTTTCTTAAATTACAATTATTTGATTAAAAATAGTATTAATCAATAATAAGAAGAAAAAATAAAGAACTGTGTACTTTTAAAGAATATTTGTCAAATTTTCTATTTCCTAAAGGGAGAAAATATAAAGGAGAAATACAATTCGAAGGAAGTCATATTTATATTTATGCCACCCGAGAAGAGAGAAAGAGATAATTGAGAAAGAGAAAGATGAAGAGAAAGAGAGATTGGAGAGAGAGAGTTTGCTTTTTTTCCCTAAATAATTAGATTTAAAATCCGATTTTGTTTTTGTTTTTTCTATTTTAGGGTTTTTTAACATATTTTTAATATGTTTGTAAAAACAAAATAGGCAAATTATATACAAAAGTATAAAGGACATTTTATGTTATAAAAAAGGGCCTAAAGGTGCTAAGAAATCATTTTTTAAAGAAAAATTATAGTAAATAGTATATTTTTAAAACTAACTTTAGTAAATAACATATTTTAAAATTTTTGGAGTAAATAGCAGTTTACGTGATAATGACGGTAAATTATTCATTTACGACTTGTAAAAAAATCTTAAAAAATCTTTATTTAGATGGCAAAAATTCTTTTTACCATACATAAAAAGAAAATTTACGTGAAAAAAATATTTTTAATAGCCGTAAATGAATCATTTACACGGTTAATGATTCATTAACCACGTAAATTATTATTTATTTTAAATAGTTTTAAAATTTTCTATTTATTTAATTTAGTTCTAAAAATCTGTAATTTACTACATTCTTCCCTTTTAAAATGTCGAGATATCAATTCAAAATTATTAAAAACACTAATACACAAGGTACTAAAAAAATATTACGCTAAAATATAGGGAACCAATATAAAATGGAGAAAAGAGACAAATACCCTTAAAAGTGTATGGTTTAGATTTCTACCCCTTACTCTTAGTTAATAACTTTTTTAGTCAAATATTATACTAGTAAAAGGAGAATGAGGAATAAAAATCTTGATTTATACACTCTAAAGGGTAAATTTCGTAATCTTCCCATATAAAATTTTGAATTTTCCTTCATTTTTTAACAAGTCTTAGGCCCAATCAAAAATTATACCACGTGGCATATTTTCAAGAGTTGAATTGAAATCTAGATTTTTTTTTTTGGAATATTTTAGGTATTATATAATTTTTTGTAATAAATTATTATAATGACGATAATGTTCTTAATTATATAATAATTATTATGATGATAATAAGTTCTACTATTCCTAAAATATTCTAAATTTTTTGCTATATTTAAACATGACTAGTAAGATCATGATTAAATTTCATCTATTGAAGAGTTCATATTCGAATATACTTTTAGTTTTTATAGAAAATTTAAACCTAATTTACATTTAAAAAAAAAAAAAACAAACAGCACATGTGAATAGCTAGTCTTCAAAAGTGATACCCGACAAACTTGACAAAACTTCTGATGTAAATTAAGTTGTATAAATCTTTTAAAGTCTAATTATTCACCTTATCACTCTAATATTAAAATTATGCTTAAATATTTCGAAAAAAAAATGTTGTATTTGCATTCCAGATATTTAAGGGTATGTTATTTTGTCTAAAAAATTAAAAAAAAGACAATTCAAATTTTAATTTTATTCAAGTTCACGTTCTTTTAAGTTTCAACTTTATTTAATTTTACTCTCAACTTTATTCAAATTCTAATTTCAACTCAAATTATAACTCAAATTTAATTCAAAAATCACACTCAAATTACACTCTAAAAGAACAATCCCTAAAAGTAAAATTCCTTGAATTCACCCCCGAACTCTAATAGTAAGCCTAAATTAGGCTCAATATCACGGGAAGAATTAGAATAATTCACTCCTTGATAATTGGTATACATCATAAATCTCAAAAATCCAGAAATGCCCTTGCCAAGCAATGCCCCACTATTGAAGCATCGTTTACTTCAACCACCCCGTCCAGAGTGCAACGGCCATCTCCGCCGCGAAAGAAGCTCACGGGTCATCGCTGGAAAGAACACGACGAAGTCGCCGGCGTTCACTGAACCATATCTTGTCGATCTGTACTCTCCTTGAAAACCACGGCAAGCCCAAATTGAATTCGTCGTCAACGCCGTTATATCTCCATTGTTCTCTTCATCATGAACGCCACGAGAGAGAGAGAGAGAGAGAGAATAGTTGTATAGAAGGTGAAACAGTCCGAGATGATGATGAGGGCATCCTTGAAATTTTAAATTTATTTTAAAACGATATGTTATTTACATTAGTCTCGTTTATTTCACCTATTCGAATTTTTAATTTTAATTTTATTATAATTAAAAATTCTCACAAAAAATCACATCTAAATTTTCTGCTACAGTAAAAAGTTCTCACATAAAATCACATATTAACTTAACGAACTGAACAGGGCCTTCAGTTCTTAAAATAATATGCTATTTAAAACAATTAATTTTTAATAACTGACATTTAGTACAATTTATGTAAAAGAAAATGCACATAAAAGTGATATAAGTGAATAATTAGACTTTAAGGCCTCGTTTATTTAACCAATTTGAGTTCTCAATTTTAATTTTATTACAGTTAAAAATTTTTATAAAAAGGCACATCTAACTTTTTCTGCTACAGTTAAAAACTCTTATAAAAAGTTACATCTCATTTTAAATTAAAAACTCGAATCGACGAACTGAATTATGCCTAAATATAATGGTCAATTTAATTTAAATTAGTATTACTTGTGAGGTCTAGTTATTCACCACAATTACTTGCATAAATTGTCATCGAATCTTTTTTTTTACATAAGTGGTAATTCAAATTCCAACTCTATAAACACGGTATTTATGTAATTCACCCCACTATAAATTAGACTTAGTATCACGGTTAAAGTTTAGGCCCCGTTCATTTCGCTGATTCGAGTTTTGCTACAGTAAGTTCTCACAAACAATCACATCTAACTTTTTTGATACAGTAAAAAGCTCTCACATAAAATCACATCTCAACTCGAATTAAAAACTCGAATCAGCGAACTAAACGGGCCCTTAGTTATTTACGTATATCACTTTATGTTAAATCAAGCTTTCCGCGTTTGTAAATTCAAAAACAAATTGACAACTAAAAAAAATAAAATTTGGCATAGTTTTGTACATGTTTATTATTTATATTATTCTAAATAATTAGATGTTATTGTAATTTTTTTTATCAATTAAATGACAACTGTTTACTTTTTTAATGTATTGATATAAATAATATGTTTTTACTATATTAAGTGATATTTCTGATTCTTTTTTTCTCACTAACTAAAAGTACTATATATTCTTTTATTCCACCGGCCCTTTCACGCACAGAGACAAGGATTTTGTACAAATGACCAACTTTTTGGACTTCTTTGCAAAAACAATCATGTATATAATTTTTAAAAATAATTTTCTCATGTTTTTCGTTGAAAAGAAATGGTTTTAATTTTTAACGCATGGTAGTAGAACAATCTCTTTCATAGAGTTACAAGTTCAGAAGAAAGTTCTAGTATAGAAAATTTATGAAAAAAATTATTTAATGATATATATGAGGAAATAGCATTTGAGATGGCTGCAAAAAATAGACATTTAAGTAACTTAGAAAACAAGAATTTATAATAAAATTAGAGAATGGGGATATATGAAAAACATAAGATAATTAAAATGTTATTTGAATAAATTGTTGAAAAAAGACACGTTCAAGAAAAATTGTTTTATAAAGAGATCACTACTTACATATTAGACGAAAAAATTAAGTAGAGAATTGAAAAATTATTAGTTTTAGTGAGAGAGGAGAAAAAACACATTGAAAAAGAATCACATCATAGAGATGCTTTTAGTAAAAAAGAAAAAAATAAGGACACATCTAAAAGAAATTATTTTAATAGAAATAAAGCAGAAAAATATTTTTATTTTAAGAAAATACTTGTTGTTGTAACTAATCTACAGAGAAGATTTGGTTAAAAAAGAAAAAAGAAAAACAATTATGGAAAGAAAAAAAGGCAAATGAAAAATGAATCATAAAGTGCAGGAGAGTTGGTGGAAAAAGTTTTGGCTCTTTTAAATTTAGGAACGTAGATATGTGCAAGAAAAGTTTAAGGACATTTTTTTAAAAAAAGAAAAAAAAAATGTGTACGAGACGTATAATAATCACGATTTTTCGTAGAAAAATAAGGGAAATACTCATCAAATAGGTACCATTATCTATTTTAACACTCAAGAGTTCATTAATTTCTACCATTTTACAATTAAAATAATGAAAATAGTTAAATTAAATATTTTTAAAATTCTAAAGTTACTCTTAATGGTTTATTAGTAAATTATAAGATATGCCAACAGTCTCCCGTCGCCAGTCGGCGGGTCTCTGACCGGAAAACCATAACTTGACAGATTACACCAGCCACCGGTGGGTCTCCGGCTAACAGGTTATGATCCATAACTTGAAAGATTACACTGGCCACCAGCGGGTCTCCAGCCGACCGTTGGCTATAACCTGACAGATTATGATCCATAACATGACAGATTACACAAGTCACCAGCTGTTCTACGACCATAACGTGACAGGTTATGATCCATAACCTAACAGATCACACCGGCCATCGACGGGTCTCCGGCCATAACTTAACAGGTTATGATCTATAAACTGCAGATTACATCGGCCATAACCTGACAAGCCATAACCTGACAACTTATGATCCATAACCTGACAAATTATACAGGTCATCAGTTGGTCTCCAGTGATAACCTGACAAATTACACCGGCCACCGACACTACA